CTAGAGGGAACAGACGACTTTTGCTTCTTTTTTACTTTCTTGTATATAGGAAGTATAGAGAAAGTCTTGTAATCGTGCAACAAAAAAAAATCGAGATTTTTGCAAATCTCGACGTTTTACACCTCAATGATACAGAAAAACATAATTTTGCAATCTTGACGTATCTCTCTCTCTCTCTCTCTCTGTGAGTGTGTGTGTGTGTGTGTGTGTGTGTCTGTGTGTCTGTGTGTAAACACGATAACTTAAGTACCGTTATAGCTATGAAATTTCATATATAAGTATTTTATCAAAATCGTAGATCCCTGTCAACTTTTGAGCGATTTCCGATAACTGGAAGTGGTACTTTTTCTGCTTTGAATTTTTCAAAAGCCTATAACTTGAGTAATATTTCAGATAGATAAATGAAATTTCACATGTAAGTAAAAGATCTAATTCTCTACCTTCTGTCAAATTTTGAGTAATTTCCGTTGACCGGAAGTACTAATTTACGCTATTTCCGATTTCTAAAAAAAAATGCATGTAAATTTATAAAGTACTAATAATATTGCGCACTATTATGCACATCTTTATTTGGCGTTCACTTGGTGCGCAATTCTTTTTTCTATGAGATTCAATTCTATTTTTAAAAGTTTAAGTAATTAAAGTGGATTAAAAATTATGTCTATATTCCAAGTTATATAAGAATATTCGAGAAAATTTAGGGGAGATCACTCCCGGTTTATTTGTATTGGTAGAACTACTATTCTGTATTATCCTGTTCACAACCAAATAAAAAAGAATATATTAACCATAATTTCGGTTTTATGTACATTTACTTATTTTTGTTTTAAAAACTATGTGATAGTAACGTGTATAATATGAATCTCTCCCTTAATGTAATTTACAACAGGCTTTTGGAAAAAAAGTTGAGACCATCCCAGCTTCGGTACTGATGGACAGAAGCACATCGGCGCTTTGTTGCCCCTTGTAAGTTCTTTTCTCAGACCCCCCCCCCCCCTCCCCGCTCTTATTTGGTGCACAATCCTTTTTTACACAGTTTACTGTATTTAAAAATTCAAGCATTTAAAAGTTGATAAAAAACAACATATCTAAAACCAATTGCACTGGAGTTGCCATCCTCTTTAGTATTATTTAAGATTATTCGAGAAAGTTTACAGGAGATCAGTCACTCTTTATTTTAATTAAATAAAAGCTTGTAAAAATAAATTAGAATCGAGCAGAAAAAGTAATTGCGCACCAAATGAACGTAAGCAAGGTTTGCATAATAGATCGAAAATTATTACCTTATTTAAAAGTTAACTAATCATCTATTAAGTCACATTTTATGTCACAGTACATTGTCATCAAGACTGACGTACGTGAAAAGTTTAAAGCAAATCAGTGATATATTTTAAGTAATCTAAAATACCGTAAAGTACTACTTCCTGTCACAAGTAAATAAAAATCCCCGGAAATGTGATCAAATGAAGTAATAACTATTTTTAAAATTTCGTTCATCTAACTGGAATAACAGGTTGATAGTATTTTTTTTAATACATCAAAACAAACATCTAAAGCTAAAGCTAAAGCTAAAGCTAAAGCTAAAGCTAAAGCTAAAGCCAAAGCCAAAGCCAAAGCCAAAGCCTAAGCCTAAGCCTAAGCCTAAGCCTAAGCCTAAGCCTAAGCCTAAGCCTAAGCCTAAGCCTAAGCCTAAGCCTAAGCCTAAGCCTAAGCCTAAGCCTAAACCTAAGCCTAAACCTAAACCTAAACCTAAACCTAAACCTAAACCTAAACCTAAACCTAAACCTTAACCTAAACCTAAACCTTAACCTTAACCTTAACCTTAACCTTAACCTAAACCTAAACCTAAATATGAAAATTACTTACTTTTTACGAGTAATGATTTTGCACACAGCATCAATAAATTGTTTTGTAGCTTTAGCTTGGTCCAAATCTTTCATATTCCATGACGCAATTTTTAATTCTGTATTAAAACAAATAAAGTAACTATTTCATCCAGAGGCGTAGCGAGGGGGGGGGGGCGGGGGGGGGGGACATATGTCCCCGGGCGCCGACCTTAGGGGGGGGGGGGCGCCAAATTGAAAGTTTGAGGGGGGGGGTGCAAATGAAAAGTTCGAGGGGGGGTGCAAATCGAAAGTTTGAGGGGGGGGGGGTGCAAATGAAAAGTTCGAGGGGGGGGGGGTGCTAATTGAAAATTTGCTCCCGAGGGGGGCGCCAAATTGAAAGTATGTCCCCGGGCGCCGAGAAGGGTCGCTACGCCTCTGATTTCATCCATGGGGAAGAAAAATCAGAGTTTACTGTTTCTGTTACTTAGCATTCGAAGGGACAGTGTGGTCAGCGCTGTGCTCAAACACCTTTACTTTCTCTACCATCATTTAATTACCCATCAGAGCTGGGTTGGCTCATTGATGTTCTACCGACTTGTGCCTTTTGAGACCTTCGGGCTAACAATCGAGCACAATATAGACGAGCCGCGCCGTCCCTATTACGGTATTGCTAATTAATCATTAGATATGTGCATCCGTCGGACTTGACACCTCTAGGAATATATAATGAGGTGTAAATAAATACATAAACAACACTTTTATAATAATTCATACTCATCAGCTGTCACACTTTGCTGGAGTATGTGCCGACAAATTACAGCTCTCCACTATTCTCTGACGTAGATTATTTTCCAATACCAGCTCAACTTGTGTACCTGAAGGGTTCTATTTTAATTTTTTAGTGTCTGCATGGGGATGTTGGTGGATGAATAACGCAGCGTGTGTTCAGTTTAAACAAATCTCTTCTGAGTTTCTTCCTCAGCTGAAAGTTATCTGGTTTTATTACAAGCTTTTATTTAACTCACTTCCTCTATCGACAGTCTGTCGACAGTCTGTCGTAAGTCGTCAGTCTAGATCGAAACGCTGGAGTAAAAATTCGAACACTTCTACTTGACCGATACGATTCACAGTTGGCACGTAAGTCAAGACATGAAGAAAATGCAAGCTGAAATTTAATTTGACTTAATTGGATGCCTAATTACTTTTTGATGAATTAATTAAAGTTTTGACCTAATTAGTAGGCATGTCTATCCAACCACACCACACGCGTCATCACGTTCAATAGCTGCGCCATCACGTTCAGTAGGCGTGCAATGGTTTTTAGTCATGTAACTCTATTGTAAATTAAACATGAAAAGTACTGAAAAAAAAAATTCATAAAAAACGTTTTAATAACAAGCTTTTATGTAATAATGCACTAAAAAGTAGAAAATAAATTATAGACTACTATTTAAATAACTATAAAGAAAAGCGTGGGTGTCTTCCTTAACATTAGTAAAGGTATCCAATAGATACTAAAGTGACCCACGCTTTTCTTTACTTTATAGTTATTTAAATAGTAGTCTATAATTTATTTTCTACTTTTTAGTGAATTATTACATAAAAGCTTGTTATTAAAACATTTTTATGAATTTTTTAAACAATAGGTTGATGTTTAATTATCGTGCTAAGCCAATATATTTGTAGGATTCTTTTCAAGCATAATGCTTGTAGATAGTTGGACTTACTGTATGTTTATACCGACATCCTTAACATATCATCTCAATATTAAAAAAAAAATTAAATTTTAAATTTAATTATTTACTAAAACGAATGCTATACTTCGTCTTTTTCAGTTTATGTTTAAAATAATATAAAATTGTTTGAAAAATAATTATTTAAAAAAGTTACCTCCCTTGTAAATTGAACGAATGACATTGTCTTTGTTTTCTTTTTTTCACTAACAGTTGCAATACTTATATAAAAAAATATGGCTTCTGGACAAATCTAACGACCATAATAGTTTTTTTCCGAAGGGAATATCGTTTTTTTTATTCCCCTCCAGGATCGGTCTCTGCCCTCACAAAATATCAAGGGGATCGTGCGGCATTTTAAAATATTTTTTTTTATAGCTCATATAAGAAGAATTTCACTCGTGGTCACTTTTTAGCCCTCGCCGTGCGAGCAGATGCTCAGGAGTTATGATTGGGTTTGCTCGTCCAGATATTTGTATTTTTTAAAAAAAAAAAAAAAAAAAAAAAAAAAAAAAAAAAAAAACAATACAACAGTATTATGTTTATATAAGGAAATATGGCCTCTGGTCAGTTAAAACATTGTTCCGGAATTTTCCCGAGGGTACCACAATTTTTTTTAACTGATCCCCTGGGACAGATGTGCAACCCCAAGAGTTTTCAAAATATGGGGAATGTTTTTCGATATATAGCTCATGTAAGGAGAATTTCACTCGTAGTCACGTTTTATCCCTCGCTGTGCAAGCAGAGGCTGACCAATAGTTTATCTATAAGGCCGATTCATTTACTCAGGATTTTGGAAAAAAATGTACAGAAACAAAGTTCCAGAAGATTGTTTTGAAAATAGTCATCGTTTTTCAGAAAATTAACAATGTTTATAGAGGGAAAATTCGGACCGGTCAGTTCTAAAGGTCTTCCGGAGTTTTCCCCAATATATCTTAGTGTTTTTTTGCCGGCCCCGAGGGTCGGTCTACGACCTCAGGAGTTATGAAAAGGTTCCTACGTGGGAATTTTTTTTTCGATATATAGCTCATAAGGCGCCGGTCAGTCGACGTCAGTTTAGACCCCCTCTTCGAGGACTTTTCGGCCAACCGGCACCATCCCTCGTGTTCTATTGACCCAAGGCAGGATCCTGCCAAATTTGACGCACATGCGGTACCGGGAAGTGCCTTATCAGGCACCCGACCACTTTGCTTTATATATATATAGATAATAAACCGGGAGTGATCTCCCCTAAACTTTCTCGAATATTCTAATATAACACTATGGGGGATGGCAACTTGGGATATAGACTTCTAGACATAATTTTTAATCCATTTTAATTACTCAAATTTTTAAAAATAGAATATAATCTCGTAGAAAAAAGAAATGCACACCAAGTGAACGCTAAATAAAGATGTGCATAATAGTGAGCAATCTTATTAGTACTTTATAAATTTACATGCGTTTTTTGAGAAATCGGAAATAGCGTAAATAAGTACTTTCGGTCAACGGAAATTACTCAAAATTTGACAGCAGGTAGAGAATTAGATCTTTTACTTACATATCAAATTTCATTTAACTATCTGGGTGTGGGTGTGGGTGTGGGTGTGGGTATGGGTATGTGTATGGGTATGGGTATGGGTATGGGTATGGGTATGAATGGCCGCAACAATAGATTTTCCTTAAACTTATTTAATGAAACAGGTTAACTCTTACTAAACAATAAACCAGCAGCCTCGTCATCTAGATCAGGGGTCTCCAAACTACGGCCCGCGAGCCGGATACGGCCCGCGAGGTCCTCTCATCCGGCCCGCGGAGATCTTTTTGTTCACGGAAAAAAATGTTTGTTAGAGGTGGCTGAGGAACTTTGCCCAGAAAATTTAAAACAATTTGAATATGTAGCTTTGGGTGCAAATACCATTGCCTTCTGTGTTGCAGACATTGATGAAAACATTGTGACTCAAATAGTGAAAACTGCTTACAAGTTTCGCAATTTTTCAATTGCAATGGGTGAGTCGCTGGACAGCTGTTCCATGTTTTTGAAACAAGCACAGGGCAACAATTTGACGCACTTTCAGCAGTGCAAGGTCTTCATTGCTGAAGCAACAGCTCTGTTCCCCACATCATGCGAGATCATCAAAGACCCCCAGTTGCACTTTAAGTAGCGGTTTTCTGACTAGGAATTAAAGGCAGAAGAAGTGAGACTGTTTCAAACCCCAATTGAAGCAAATGTAACCAGTTGCCTCAGATGAATTGCAGATGGGGGTCATTGAATTGCAAGCAAATGACTTCCTTAGAGACAAGTTTAAAAAATGGCGGGTGGGTTTTTGCGTTTGCCCAAGGAGAACAAACTTAGACCTCGCATTTTAAATATGTATATATTTTTATATAAATTAGATTTCGTTGGGGGGGGGGGGGGGAAGGAGGGGAAGGAGGGGACTCTACCACCACAAAGAGATGCATGGAAGAAACTCTGGCCCCCGAACTGATAGTTGATAGTTAATGCGGCCCTCGGTCTGAAAAGTTTGGAGACCCCTGATCTAGATAATACAAGACTAAAAAGAATATAAATTACATGACAAGTATTACATTCAATATATTGAGTCAGCAACGTGGTGACACATGCAAAGTTAAAAATTACTAAGCCTTCAATCGTAGTGGGATGATAGATCATACAACTGCTAATCCGAAAGCCCCGAGTTTTTATTTCAAGTTCGTAGAATATCCCTGACTCTTCCCAGTTCTGATTTGTTTAAATGTTAATTTTTTATTATGTATTTAAAGAAAATCATTTATTTACATTTTCAAGACATTCTCAAACAATTGAACCGAAAACTTGAAGAACATTAGTGTGAACCGTAGTTAAGTAACAAAATAAACGTTTTGAAATAACAGAGTTTAAAAAATTCAAATTACACATAAAACATAATATTTAAATTTTATAGAATCGTTTGAAAGAGGGATCACAATGGATCAGTACACATATTTATGCACCAGGCAAAGTCAAACTAGAGAAGAAAGGACGAATACTTGGTTTGATTCTCACACAAACGTGACCTCAGTACTTTTAACACTAGACTCCTAATTACTGTTTTCTGATACTCACAATTGTCACAGTTAGTGTTATTTTAACTTACAGAGAAGAGCTACATAAAATATTGAGTGTCGCTGAACTCTTGTTAACTCACACTAATAACTCATAAGATTAATTTGTAACGAAATGAAAAGATTCTGTGGTTTCTTTTCCCGAAGCTGACAACGGACGCAAAACCTGTTTGTATTTGTTATGCACGTGACAGAGAATTGCTTTTAATGGAAAAACGCAAATCGAACTCACTACGCATAGGATTACATTTTATTTTAAATTTGCTGGCCACGAAATATATATTCGACTTATTTCTACAGTTAAGGCTGCAAGAAATATAAATCAGGAACCATTTTAGCCTAACTTCAGTTTCTCTTAATCATATGTATGGATGGTTTGGTTAGCGTTATGCAAATCCATTTCCCCCCAACCCCCACAATTAAAGTCTTTACTAGAAACAACCGCGAGACTGAATTATATGTTTAAAAGTGTTACAAATTTGCTAATAGGCATGCTCATTTTAAGCACACTTGATAACCTAACGAGTTTACGGGGTGAAAATTATTAAAGAGTGAAAACAATGATCGGTAAAGTGACCCACCAACAGCTTCTGTAACACATTATAATATGTAGCTAACAATCATATGAAATTTTCTTCATTATAACTAATCATAATCAACTTACTTGTTTCTCCCTCCTTGAGGGTAACTTGTGAAAGACCATCTGCTAAGAGTTCATCATCACTCTTTGCTTGTCGCTTGTCTGCAGAATGTTTTATTTAAGAAACTTTAACTTAATGTCAGTTTTTTGTATAATATTATACATTAAAATGTTTATATTTGTTTTTAAGAGTACATGTGGATGGCTTTATTGAAGAGAAATTCAATTGAAACACATCAGCTAAAGAAATGTTTGGATTAGGACACATACACCCACACACAGACACACATAGACACAAACAGAGAGATAGAGAGAGAGTGAGAGAGAGAGACATACGGACAAGATTGCAAAACTAAGTTTTTCCTACTCAGAGAGGCGTAAAAAAAGCTCGATTTTTTTTGCACGATTACAATACTTTCTCTATACTTCGTATACGAGAAAGTAAAATGGATAAGCCTATTTTTAACTTGCATACTACGATTAGTCGCTTAGGCATTTTATAGGACACCTGGGCTTTTTGTAAAATGTCGGGTTCTCACTTTAATATCACTTACAATATGAATATGCTTGTCTAATGGAAAATGAATCGTGGCTTTGAACAGAGAGATGAAATGAAGTTGTTCCTAGACTGGACGTCAGAAGGAAACATGATACGCTCTAACGACAGAAGTTTGATTAAACGAGTAGCATATCTAACAGGTATATTAGGATAGAAAAATAGTTTCAACCTCAAACTACAGGAAAAGAAAACGTATATAATGGAATTTCACGATAATCCTGAAATATGTGTATGCAGAAGCTGCAAAACTTGAGAGGAAAATACATCTCAGAAATCATGCGCTGTTTGAGAAATTCAACCAACCTACCCTCCCCATAAGTATGACGTCAGCTTACCTCCCCTCAAACATAACGTCAACTGACCTTCCCTCCTTACAAGCATGACGTCAACTTACCTCCCCTCCCCACAAGCATGACGTCAACTTACTTCCCTCTCCCCACAAGTATGACGTCAACTTACCTCCCCTTCCTACAAGCATGACGTCAACTTACCTCCCCTCCCCACAAACATGACGTCAACTGACCTTCCATCCTTACAAGCATGACGTCAACTTACCTCCCTTCCCCACAAGCATGACGTCAACTTACCTCCCCTTCCCAAAAGGATGACGTCAACTTACCAACCTCCCCTCCCCACAAGCATGACGTCAACTTACCAACCTCCCCTCCCCACAAGCATGACGTCAACTTACCAACCTCCCCTAAGCAAACATGACGTCAAATTACCAACCTCCCCTCCCCACAAACATGACGTCAACTTACCAACCTCCCCTCCCCACAAACATGACGTCAACTTACCAACCTCCCCTAAGCAAACATGACGTCAACTTACCAACCTCCCCTAAGCAAACATGACGTCAACTTACCAACCTCCCCTAAGCAAACATGACGTCAACTTACCAACCTCCCCTAAGCAAACATGACGTCAACTTACCAACCTCCCCTAAGCAAACATGACGTCAACTTACCAACCTCCCCTAAGCAAACATGACGTCAACTTACCAACCTCCCCTAAGCAAACATGACGTCAACTTACCAACCTCCCCTCCCTACAAAACGACGTCAACTTACCGTTCTGACAATCGGGGCCAGTGGGGAACGTATCAGTTTGACCCACATTGCCCTTTTCCTGCACTAACTGGTCGAAAAGTGCCTCAAAGGTGAGACCTGAGGTGAGACAAAATATTAGACACAAGGTGAGACACGAGGTGAGACACAAGGTGAGACACAAGGTGAGACAAAATATTAGAAACAAGGTGAGACACAAGGTGAGACACAAGGTGAGACACGAGGTGAGACACGAGGTGAGACCTGAGGTGAGACAAAATATTAGACACAAGGTGAGACACGAGGTGAGACACAAGGTGAGACACAAGGTGAGACAAAATATTAGACACAAGGTGAGACACAAGGTGAGACACAAGGTGAGACACGAGGTGAGACACGAGGTGAGACCTGAGGTGAGACAAAATATTAGACACAAGGTGAGACACGAGGTGAGACACAAGGTGAGACACGAGGTGAGACACACGGTGAGACACGAGGTGAGACAAAATATTAGACACAAGGTGAGACACGAGGTGAGACCTGAGGTGAGACAAAATATTAGACACAAGGTGAGACACGAGGTGAGACACAAGGTGAGACACGAGGTGAGACACGAGGTGAGACACGAGGTGAGACACGAGGTGAGACAAAATATTAGACACAAGATGAGACACGAGGTGAGACACAAGGTGAGACATGAGGTGAGACAAAGTATTAGACACAAGGTGAGACACGAGGCGAGACACAAGGTGAAACACGAGGTGAGACACGAGGTGAGACACAAGGTGAGACACGAGGTGAGACAAAATATTAGACACAAGATGAGACACGAGGTGAGACACAATATGAGACACGAGGTGAGACAAAGTATTAGACACAAGGTGAGACACGAGGTGAGACACAAGGTGAAACACGAGGTGAGACACAAGGTGAGACACAAGGTGAGACACGAGGTGAGACAAAATATTAGACACAAGGTGAAACACGAGGTGTGACCTGAGGTGAGACAAAATATTAGACACAAGGTGAGAAACAAGGTGAGACACAAGGTGAGACACGAGGTGAGACACGAGGCGAGACACAAGGTGAGACACGAGGTGAGACCTGAGGTGAGACAAAATATTAGACACTAAGTGATACACAAGGTGAGACACAAGGTGAGACACGAGGTGAGACACAAGGTGAGACACGAGGTGAGACCTGAGGTGAGACAAAATATTAGACACAAAGTGAGACACAAGGTGAGACACAAGGTGAGACACGAGGTGAGACAAAATATTAGACACAAGATGAGACACGAGGTGAGACACAATGTGAGACACGAGGTGAGACACAAGGTGAAACACGAGGTGAGACACAAGGTGAGACACAAGGTGAGACACGAGGTGAGACAAAATATTAGACACAAGATGAGACACGAGGTGAGACACAATGTGAGACACGAGGTGAGACAAAGTATTAGACACAAGGTGAGACACGAGGTGAGACACAAGGTGAAACACGAGGTGAGACACAAGGTGAGACACAAGGTGAGACACGAGGTGAGACAAAATATTAGACACAAGGTGAGACACGAGGTGTGACCTGAGGTGAGACAAAATATTAGACACAAGGTGAGAAACAAGGTGAGACACAAGGTGAGACACGAGGTGAGACACGAGGCGAGACACAAGGTGAGACACGAGGTGAGACCTGAGGTGAGACAAAATATTAGACACTAAGTGATACACAAGGTGAGACACAAGGTGAGACACGAGGTGAGACACAAGGTGAAACACGAGGTGAGACCTGAGGTGAGACAAAATATTAGACACAAAGTGAGACACAAGGTGAGACACAAGGTGAGACACGAGGTGAGACAAAATATTAGACACAAAGTGAGACACAAGGTGAGACACAAGGTGAGACAAGAGGTGAGACACAAGGTGAGACATGAGGTGAGACCTGAGGTGAGACAAAATATTAGACACAAAGTGAGACACAAAGTGAGACACAAGGTGAGACACAAGGTGAGACACGAGGTGAGACACAAGGTGAGACACGAGGTGAGACCTGAGGTGAGACAAAATATTAGACACAAGGTGAGACACAAGGTGAGACACAAGGTGAGACACAAGGTGAGACACAAGGTGAGACACAAGGTGAAAAAAGCGTGACTTCATTTATGGATGACCCCATATGTAATAAATGAAGACTATCAGTGTACATATTCAGGTTGTTACAATAGAATGACCACACTCGTAAAATGTTGTATTTTTAACTAATATTTCTTATATTAATAAGATTTGGATCCCGCACAGTCTACTTGGTGAATTTAATCAACCACTATTCACTTAATAATTTCCACCTTTGGCTTATAATGTTTAAGACAACTTAGATACATAATTATTTTACATTTTAAATAGACCTAATGGCCTAATAATATAATACAAATATAACGGAATACGAAAGCGGAGAAAGGTAGTATGTACACCACTCAATTAATCTTCATCATCTGCATAAACAGTTCCACAAAATGTTTATCATCTATGTTGACAGTTTCTCTTGTTATGCCTGGCGTCAAATGTTCCCTTAAGCTTCATAAATACAAAACTTGACAACACTGTAACTTTAAAAACAAATAATTAGAAGCTGATTTTGCCGTAACCTGACCGTGACCGTGACCGTGACCGTGACCGTGACCGTGACCGTGACCGTGACCGTGACCGTGACCGTGACCGTGACCGTGACCGTGACCGTGACCGTGACCGTGACCGTGACCGTGACCGTGACCGTAACCGTGACCGTAACCGTGACCGTAACCGTGACCGTAACCGTAACCGTAACCGTAACCGTAACCGTAACCGTAACCGTAACCGTAACCGTAACCGTAACCGTAACCGTAACCGTAACCGTAACCGTAACCGTAATCGTAACCGTAACCGTAACCGTAGCCGTAACCGTAACCGTAACCGTAACCGTAACCGTAACCGTAACCATAGCCGTAACCGTAACCGTAACCGTAACTGTATGTGTTGTATATTGTATGTAACATTGACTCGAAATTTATTATCTGCTTCCAAGGATGTAGCCAGCATTTCCCGATGAATTATGAGATGAAAGTTTGGATTTGCGGAATATACCCTCGGCATGTAGCTTGTTTAATGGCAAATAATTTATATCTTTCATACCCAAATGTTAATCATTGATTTTTGAGATTTAGTTTTTTTTTCCGTAGAGTTTGAATTCTTCATAAAAGAAAGCAAGGAATTAATTAAAAAGAAACAAATATTAATGTTGATAATGAGAAGAGGTTTTGTGATTAACCGAAACTTACCGCTAATTGATTTTTAAAGCTGGTTAATAACAAAGAATTTCAACCAGTGCATTTGAATTAATGATTTAACAGAATTAAAAATGTAATTATACTTATGTCTTTGTTTTCTAATTACACTTAAAAAGCCTTTTTTTCGATTTCATAGGGTTCGCGGAATTTTCGGCTATTATAAAAAAGAATTTGTATGTAGATTGTATTGTATTAGTTAAAATTTAAAAAAAAAGAAAGTATTTTACCTGGTTTCGAGTTTTCCTCACTCATTTTGGAATAGAAACTTAACTTGATCAAAATTTATCCTGAAACAAAAAGTAATTCAAATTGCAATTAAAGATTTTAACATACACATACCCTTACAATTATCATTATCTTACCCTTACACATATCCTTATCCTAATAATGATAAAATAATAATGAAAATGATAGACAGAACCATAACCATAACCAGAGTCGTAGCGAGGGCGGGGCGGATGGTGCGGACCGCACCATAAACATAAACATAACCGTAACCGTAACCGTAACCGTAACCGTAACCGTAACCGTAACCGTAACCGTAACCGTAACCGTAACCGTAACCGTAACCGTAACCGTAACCGTAACCGTAACCGTAACGTGACCGTGACCGTGACCGTGACCGTGACCGTGACCGTGACCGTGACCGTGACCGTGACCGTGACCGTAACCGTAACCGTAACCGTAACCGTAACCGTAACCGTAACCGTAACCGTAACCGTAACCGTAACGGTAACGGTAACCGTAACCGTAACCGTAACCGTAACCGTAACCGTAACCGTAACCGTAACCGTAACCGTAACCGTAACCGTAACCGTAACCGTAACCGTAACCGTAACCGTAACCGTAACCGTAACCGTAACCGTAACCGTAACCGTAACCGTAACCGTAACCGTAACCGCAACCGCAACCGCAACCGCAACCGCAACCGTAACCGCAACCGCAACCGCAACCGCAACTGCAACCGTAACCGTAACCGTTACCGTAACTAGATGCCTGCATTGTTGCTGTATCAAAATAAGCTAAATACACTTTTGCGTTCATGTGTTTGTGCTGTAAAACTACAGAAATTTTGGGTGTGATGGTTTTAAGGTGGAGGTTCCTAAAAGTGTCCGTTGTGTCTGTTAGAGCGTATTTCCTACACCATTGGATTCTGTTGTATACTGGGGTTGAGAGGTTTTTTTCCTAACTTTTTGTGAATGGTTTTCGCGTATAAGTTTTTGGTTATTTTTATATTTGTAAGCATTCTGTGTAAAAGTGGCTGTGTTTTTGTCCAATGTAATGTGGAGTTGTATTATTGATTTTTGTAAATTTAGTGTCGTGTGGGTTGTTGTAATGGGAGATGCCGTAAAAAAAAAGTTTTGAAAATCTTTGTTTCAAATTTGTTTGCTATATTTATTCTCTGAAATAAAGTTTGTCAAAAGAATATGAAGCATGAAAGCTTTTTATGTGTAATGGTTTCTAGCATTATGTTTACTTTTATAATTTTTATGTATTTATATTATTAGTTTTAAATGCATTTCCCATTTATACTATGTCCTTCTTTATAATGTATTTAAAAATAATTAAAAGCAGTAGTTTTTTTTAATTTGTTGAGTGAAAATCTATTAAAAGGTGCTTAAGAGAACACACATTTGACTATTTAAAAAAGGGAAATAAGTCATGGAAGTGGTTTTAACGTTTGCCTATTTTTCATACTACACCTCTAAATATTTTTTTCTTTTACGGAACAGCGTGTGTTGGCTACTGTGGGACATCACTACTGTGGTAGATCTGTTTTTGTTTATTTTACAAAACCACTATCAAGGTGCCAGTGGCGGAACTAAAAGTCTTAGTTGTTGCGGCGCTATTTTTTTTACACACAACCACAAACACGCCCCGGTTTACGCTGATGGTATATTTTTCAGTGATTCAAATTATGATTATTGCTATATAAAAGTATTTAAAAATTTTAAAGTATAAAATTTTAAAATTATATAACATTTTAAAATATATAAAATTTTAAAAGTATATAAAATTTTAAAAGTATATAAAATTTTAAAATATATAAAATTTTCAAAGTTGGCCTATATAAAATTACCCTATCGGACCTGGCGGTTTATTGGACAGATAAAGTAGAACTGAACTGTTTTTGAGACCTCGACATATGAAACGATAATGTTGTTAGAGCTATACCCAGCCAGGTTTACGTTCCATGGGTGGAAACAGAGTAATCCAGTGGACGATATACAAACTCAAATGTTTCGGGTTAGCAGTCGAGTGCTTACCCTATGACCACACCATCTCTAAGATGCATGAAGTGCTGCATTTTGAGATCAAAGAAAACGTCAGAATACTGAAAGACTATAATAGGAGAACACTGGTTTACTGGGGCCTCCTGGTATATGTAATCTGAACCGTAGCATTCACAAAAACTCATTAAAGACCGCTCTAGACCCTGACTTTGGCAGACAAAAAAACAACAGTCAATAGAAAAGGACATCAAAGCCCGAAAATAGGGATTGATTGGATATATTATGAGAAGGGAAGAAGATAATATCGCAGGGAAAACTATTCACTGGAATCCCCAGGGAAGGTGGAAAGTAAGCCGGCCAATGAGATCATGGAGAAGAATGGTAGAAGAAAAGGCATAGGCCGCAGAACTCACAATTGCGCAGATAAGGATAGCTGCCCAAAACCAAGTCCGCTTGAAAGGTGTAATTGCAGCTCTTTTCTCACTAGAAGCCCCAAAGATTTAAGTCAAGTCAGACAGTATAGACCACGACTATGTTAAAGCTTACTTAATCGGTAAAGCACACTTTCAAAACTAATCTTACATTAGTTAATTTTAACTGATGGTGGGTGGGTGTTGTCAGTCATTACAAAACTATAGTCTACAACGCTCGCCTGAAGAGGATTACTAGATCTATATGCTGAATACTGCGAGTCCACTTATGATAAATTCTAAGGTATGAACTAATTCTTTCTTATGCAGCTGGTTAAGTAGGTCTATGGGAAGTAACAAACTTTATTATCTTATTTCATGTCAGTATAGTGTGTGATGCTTCTTTCAATTATATCACTTTTATGTTACAAAGATATTTAATATTTTAAACATTAATTTAGGCCTATATTCTCCAAGTGTAAAAATCATTAAATATAGAATTACAAGCTTGGTTTTAAAATCCCACTATGAAAAAAACCTCTTAATTGAATCCGACGAAAATATTGGTGCCTTAGGTTTAGAAAGCACCCAACAAAAACAACAATATAACACGGCTATCCGTCTAACGCGTATGAAAAAATGTACAACAATAATTCAATAATCTATACGATTTTGCCGTTCATAAACAATGCATTATCTTAATTTTAAGGGCATCACCGAAATAAATATTACTGCATTTCAAGCATTGATTTTTATAAATTAACTCTAGTCTATTCTTTTCTGGATTCTAGGTTAAATCTAGATCTAAATAGTCTAATTCTAGATCTAGACTAGATTAAATTTAGTTTTTACTGCAAAATAATTTAAAATTGTCACAAAATAAATAAAAACCGGGAGTGATCTCCCCTAAACTTTCTCGAATATTCTTATATGAAACAACAGGGGATGGCAACTCGGGATATGGGCACGACTTTTAATCCATTTTAAATACTTAACCTTTTATAAATAGAATAAAATCTTGTAGAAAAAAGAATTGCACACCAAGTGAACGCCAAATAAAGATGTTCATAATAGTGCGCAATATTATTAGTACTTTATATTAATGTAGCTAGGGTGGGCCTAACTACTAGTTACAAATCTGATAACGAACGAGAAGCCGAGACGCAGTATTGCAGTCTGACGCAACCGATGGCAGGTGGCTTATTGAAGTCGGACTGATAACAATCTCAAAGCCAACGCGTGCTATTTTGGGAAACGGTACGAAGAGAGTCAGAAGGCCTGTCAACTTTGATTGATAGGATGCAGATGTTATTTCACGGACTGTACGCTAGAACTGCGTAACTAGTGGTCGGAGACATCGAGTACAAGTATCGATTACGGAGGAATACAAGTATGCAGACGAGTACGGATACAAGGCATAAATAGGAGGGGACGACTGAACTCGCTCTCTTACGGCTCTCTTACGGCTCTTACCGCTCTTCCATCTTCATCGCTCGCTTTAGATCAGTCAGTCTGTGTGACATACTCAAGTTGGTTATATTGTGTTAAGAAGGACAATAGACATGTGGATTCAGTTATATGAAGCCTAGTGAGGACTGTTAGGGGGTCAGTTGATTCAGACTATTATTGTGAAACATTTCTGTTGATTCATTGTGTTATATTGAAGCATTTCTTGATTCATGTAATAAAAGGATCAATAGCGAACCTGCATCTTCGAGTCTTTCTACTGTAGTCGATGTTGTGTAGCATGAGTGGTTCAACTCGTTACAATTGGCGTTGTCGGGCAGGATAGACTCGGGGAAGGTCACATTTGGCGTTGCGAACAGGAAAGATGCAACTAGCCTAGGTCACATTTGGCGCTGCGAGCAGGATGAATTCAACTAGACTTGCCGTTTTAGGCACCCATAGTCAACCTTGTGCATAACTGTGTTTTGTGTGTATGTGAATTCGGACATTCAGGAACTGTGAAAATCGAGGAAAATTTTTTCATATACACACGGTAAGAAAGAACTCTTTTGTTTTACTTACGGAATAAAATGTCTACTCTGGACGAGAAGCAGACCCATATAGTGGTCCTACCCAGAGAGTCCCACATTAACAAATTTTACGGGGACGGTGATCCCACTTTAACCAACAGGTTCAGTGAAGAGGTCAAAGCGGCCTGGGCCTCGAGAGGCATGTCACCAGAGGAAAGATTAAGACTGCTGATGGGCAGCATAGGAGAGACGGTTAGGGCAGAGGTCAAATGCCACGATAAAACCATCCAATCAGATCCAGATAAGGTGCTGGATCTGATTATGGAGACCTTTGGGGAGAGACGGTCGGGATCGCAACTGCTAGCAGGGTTCGTAGGCTTGAGGCAGAGATTGGCGGAGAGTGTGATGGAGTACTCACACCGGATGAACAGGGCCTTTGATTCGGTAAAGGTAAAAACACCTGACATTGATGTGCGCCTACTGAGGGACCATTTCATTGAGGGGCTGGCAACCCCGATCCTAAGAAGAGAGTTGAAAGAGGAGGTCCACAAAGACCCGCAGTTGACCTTCCTTCAGGTCAGGAACTCAGCGATCCGCAGGTCCGAGGATGAGGACCAATCGAACTGTTCGGTGGACAAAGTCTCTGTGCCTGAACAGAGACAATCCC